TGGGCTGTCACTAAAGTATGGATTCCATGGACAGTCGGCTGGTGGTTTATTGTATATTTGAATACATTTTGTTTTTAGGAACAAAGTTTGTAAAAATATCCATGTGATAATAATAATGCATATTATTTGAGCCAGACAATTTTGACATATGAATCAGCATCTACCTGTCTATGTATCCAATAGTATTACTTAACTTGTATATAAGACAAGTATGATGAAGTCTTGTCCAAGTGGGTTTGCTTTCTGTCTGCTTTTTAGAATGTTCCTAATAAAAATTAAAATGTCTTGTCTCATCTGAATCAAAGATGATTGTATTTCAGCAACTAAGGAATTAAAAAATTTAAACCTTTATCAACTTTTGATTGTATAAAGTACTTTAATACGTATTTATATCTAGCTTTCTTGATTGTCCTAACTTTGTAGTATTTATGTTGAGCCTTATATTTTGAGATGAACTCAGTAACAATTTTCTCGAATACTGCAACCATGACACAAAAATAGGGGATCTGCTATCTTATGTAGATGATTAGTATATGCGGTCACTTTAACAATATTTGTAGATGGCTATCCTCGAGCATATTGTTCATTATTTATCAATCCTGCAACAAATCTACCATCTCAGTTTTGCTCCACTGCATTCTATTTGACCTGTGTTATTTAAACGATTGTTCTACACTATCCTATTGAGCTAGTTGTGCATCTATATTTCAAGACATAATTACCTTTCTTGGGCATATTCTACAGCTTATGCCTATATTGGTTGAATAATCACACAATTTATTTTAGGCTTACTTTTGGGGGCCTGCTTGTGAAACTTGTAGCACTTATAATCATGTAAACCCAATTTATCTTATATGCCCTTTAATTTATTTGATGTCTCACTTTCATGTATAAGTAAGGTAGTCAAATGTGATAATCAAAACATATGCACAATTTGCATATTTTTATAAAAACTCCATTATACTAACAATAATCAATCCTATTAGTGAACCATATCCTCATACCAAATGAATACGTTAAGCACTTCACTGTTGCTCAACTTGTGATTAGTTCATCGTTCAAGGAATACCACTTTTAGTGAAGGATACTGCTTACAGGCATCTAAACTA